TATCCAAATGGATTAAACTTTGCATAAATATTCTAATGCTTAAAACAAACACAAATAAAACATCTTAAAATTTTTTTGAGCAAAAAACTAAGTAGGAAATACATTTTCAATTTTGGACTAGGGGCGGCCCTAGTCAAAATCAATTTTGTCTTTTTTTTCTTCGAGGGTTTATACAAATGGATTGAAACTTTGCATAAATATTCTAATGCTTAAAACAAACACAAATAAAACATCTTAAAATTTTTTTGAGCAAAGAACCAAGTAGGAAATACATTTTCAATTTTGGACTAGGGGCGACCCTAGTCAAAATCAATTTTGTCTTTTTTTTCTTCGAGGGTTTATACAAATGGATTGAAACTTTGCATAAATATTCTAATGCTTAATAAACAAATACAAATAAAACATCTTAAAATTTTTTTGAGCAAAGAACCAAGTAGGAAATACATTTTCAATTTTGGACTAGGGGCAACCCTAGTCAAAAACAATTTGTCACTTTTTTCTTCGAGGGTTTATCCAAATGGATTGAAACATTGCATAAATATTCTAGTACTTAAAACAAATACAAATAAAACATCTTAAAGTTTTTTTGAGCAAAGAACCAAGTAGGAAATACATTTTCAATTTTGGACAAGGGACGACCCTAGTCAAAATCAATTTTCTCACTTTTTGTCGAGGGTTTATCCAAATGGATTGAAACTTTGCATAAATATTCTAGTGCTTAAAATAAACACAAATAAAACATCTTAAAGTTTTTTTGAGCAAAGAACCAAGTAGGAAATACATTTTCAATTTTGGACTTGGGGCGACCCTATTCAAAATCAATTTTGTCACTTTTTTCTTCGAGGGTTTATACAAATTGATTGAAACTTTGCATAAATTTTCTAGTGCTTAAAACAAATACAAATAAAACATCCTAAAATTTTTTTGAACAAAAAACCAAGTAGGAAATACATTTTCAATTTTGGACTAGGGGTGACCCTATTCAAAATCAATTTTGTCTTTTTTTTTCTTCGAGGGTTTATACAAATGGATTGAAACTTTGCATAAATATTCTAATGCTTAAAACAAACATAAATAAAACATCTTAAAATTTTTTTGAGCAAAGAACCAAGTAGGAAATACATTTTCAATTTTGGACTAGGTGCGACCCTAGTCAAAATCAATTTTCTCACTTTTTTCTTCGAGGGTTTATCCAAATGGATTGAAACTTTGCATAAATATTCTTGTGCTCAAAACAAATACAAATAAAACATCTTAAAATTTTTTTGAGCAAAGAACCAAGTAGGAAATACATTTTCAATTTTGGACTAGGGGCAACCCTAGTCAAAATCAATTTGTCACTTTTTTCTTCGAGGGTTTATCCAAATGGATTGACCATTGCATAAATATTCTTGTGCTTAAAACAAATACAAATAAAACATCTTAAAATTTTTTTGAGCAAAGAACCAAGTAGGAAATACATTTTCAATTTTGGACTAGGGGCGACCCTAGTCAAAATCAATTTTCTCACTTTTTGTCGAGGGTTTATCCAAATGGATTGACCATTGCATAAATATTCTTGTGCTTAAAACAAATACAAATAAAACATCTTAAAATTTTTTTGAGCAAAGAACCAAGTAGGAAATACATTTTCAATTTTGGACTAGGGGCGACCCTATTCAAAATCAATTTTTTTACTTTTTTCTTCGAGGGTTTATCCAAATGGATTGAAACTTTGCATAAATATTCTAATGCTTAAACAAATACAAATAAAACATCTAAAAATTTTTTTGAGCAAAGAACCAAGTAGGAAATACATTTTCAATTTTGGACAAGGGGCGACTCTAGTCAAAATCAATTTTCTCACTTTTTGTCGAGGGTTTATCCAAATGGATTGAAGCTTTGCATAAATATTCTAGTGCTTAAAATAAATACAAATAAAACATCTTAAAAGTTTTTTGAGCAAAGAATCAAGTAGGAAATACATTTTCAATTTTGGACTAGGTGCGACCCTATTCAAAATCAATTTTTTCACTTTTTTCTTCGAGGGTTTATACAAATGGATTAAACTTTGCATAAATATTCTAATGCTTAAAATAAACACAAATAAAACATCTTAAAATTTTTTTGAACAAAGGACCAAGTAGGAAATACATTTTCAATTATGAACTTGGGACAGATCTTGTCAAAATCTAGTTTTTCATTTTTTTCTTCGAGGGTTTATCCAAATGGATTGAAACTTTGCATAAATATTCTAGTGTTTGAAACAAATACAAATAAAACATCTTAAAATTTTTTTGAGCAAAGAACAAAGTAGGAAATACATTTTCAATTTTGGACTAGGGGCGACCCTAGTCAAGATCAATTTTGTCACTTTTTTCTTCGAGGGTTTATCCAACTGGATTAAAACTTTGCATAAATATTCTAGTGCTTAAATCAAATACAAATAAAACATCTTAAAATTTTTTTGAGCAAAGAACTAAGTAGGAAATACATTTTCAATTTTGGACTAGGTGCGACCCTAGTCAAAATCAATTTTCTCACTTTTTTCTTCGAGGGTTTATCCAAATGGATTGAAACTTTGCATAAATATTCTTGTGCTCAAAACAAATACAAATAAAACATCTTAAAATTTTTTTGAGCAAAGAACCAAGTAGGAAATACATTTTCAATGTTGGACTAGGGGCAACCCTAGTCAAAATCAATTTGTCACTTTTTTCTTCGAGGGTTTATCCAAATGGATTGACCATTGCATAAATATTCTTGTGCTTAAAACAAATACAAATAAAACATCTTAAAATTTTTTTGAGCAAAGAACCAAGTAGGAAATACATTTTCAATTTTGGACTAGGGGCGACCCTAGTCAAAATCAATTTTCTCACTTTTTGTCGAGGGTTTATCCAAATGGATTGACCATTGCATAAATATTCTAGTGCTTAAAACAAATACAAATAAAACATCTTAAAATTTTTTTGAGCAAAGAACCAAGTAGGAAATACATTTTCAATTTTGGACTAGGGGCGACCCTATTCAAAATCAATTTTTTTACTTTTTTCTTCGAGGGTTTATCCAAATGGATTGAAACTTTGCATAAATATTCTAATGCTTAAACAAATACAAATAAAACATCTAAAAATTTTTTTGAGCAAAGAACCAAGTAGGAAATACATTTTCAATTTTGGACAAGGGGCGACCCTAGTCAAAATCAATTTTCTCACTTTTTGTCGAGGGTTTATCCAAATGGATTGAAGCTTTGCATAAATATTCTAGTGCTTAAAATAAATACAAATAAAACATCTTAAAAGTTTTTTGAGCAAAGAATCAAGTAGGAAATACATTTTCAATTTTGGACTAGGTGCGACCCTATTCAAAATCAATTTTTTCACTTTTTTCTTCGAGGGTTTATACAAATGGATTAAACTTTGCATAAATATTCTAATGCTTAAAATAAACACAAATAAAACATCTTAAAATTTTTTTGAACAAAGGACCAAGTAGGAAATACGTTTTCAATTATGAACTTGGGACAGATCTTGTCAAAATCTAGTTTTTCATTTTTTTCTTCGAGGGTTTATCCAAATGGATTGAAACTTTGCATAAATATTTTAGTGATTGAAACAAATACAAATAAAACATCTTCAAATTTTTTTGAGCAAAGAACTAAGTAGGAAATACATTTTCAATTTTGGACTAGGTGCGACCCTAGTCAAAATCAATTTTCTCACTTTATTCTTCGAGGGTTTATCCAAATGGATTGAAACTTTGCATAAATATTCTAATGCTTAAACAAATACAAATAAAACATCTTAAAATTTTTTTTGAGCAAAGAACCAAGTAGGAAATACATTTTCAATTTTGGACTAGGGGCGACCCTATTCAAAATCAATTTTCTCACTTTTTTCTACGAGGGTTTATCCAACTGGATTGAAACTTTGCATAAATATTTTAGTGCTTAAAACAAATACAAATAAAACATCCTAAAATTTTTTTGAACAAAGGACCAAGTAGGAAATACATTTTCAATTATGAACTTGGGACAGATCTTGTCAAAATCTAGTTTTTCATTTTTTTCTTCGAGGGTTTATCCAAATGGATTGAAACTTTGCATAAATATTTAGGTGTTTAAACAAATACAAATAAAACATCTTAAAATTTTTTTGAGCAAAGAACTAAGTAGGAAATACATTTTCAATTTTGGACTAGGTGCGACCCTAGTCAAAATCAATTTTCTCACTTTTTTCTTCGAGGGTTTATCCAAATGGATTGAAACTTTGCATAAATATTCTAGTGTTAAAACAAATACAAATAAAATATCTTAAAATTTTTTTAAGCAAAGAACCAAGTAGGAAATACATTTTCAATTTTGGACTAGGGGCGACCCTAGTCAAAATCAATTTTCTCATTTTTTGTCGAGGGTTTATCCAAATGGATTGAAACTTTGCATAAATATTCAAGTGCTTAAAACAAACACAAATAAAACATCTTAAAATTTTTTGAACAAAGAACCAAGTAGGAAATACATTTTCAATTTTGGACTAGGGGCGACCCTAGTCAAAATCAATTTTCTCACTTTTTTCTTCGAGGGTTTATCCAAATGGATTGAAACTTTGCATAAATATTCTAGTGCTTAAAACAAATACAAATAAAACATCTTAAAATTTTTTTGAGCAAAGAGTTAAGTAGGAAATACATTTTCAATTTTGAACTAGGCGCGACCCTAGTCAAAATCAATTTTGTCACTTTTTTCTTCGAGGGTTTATCCAACTGGATTGAAACTTTGCATAAATATTCTAGTGCTTAAAACAAATACAAATAAAACATCTTAAAATTTTTTTGAACTTCTCAAGATCATTGTTATGACATTAGTTGTGATGTCAAAGTACATACAGTTACTATATGAATCATAATTCTTTCGAACAGTGAACTTGAGAGCAGTAAGAATATTTATTATTTTCTCATAGACATTTTTTCTACAAATTACTTAATCGTAATGAAATAAAAATATTCACATGATTTAAAATTTATTTTGAGAAGTTTTGTTCGTCACAGATATCTGGATTTTGTTCTACACTTTTGATTTTACTTCTATCAAAATGCTCATCAAGAATGACATCCACTTTACTTTTTCCATTATCACTTAAATTTGGAGTTCTTGACACAACCCACACATTTTGAACCGATTTATTTCCGTCAATGTTTTTGCAATTATAAACAACTGCATAATCATCATAATCAACTGACAAATACTTAAACTCATCAATAATCTTTTTAGCTGCAAAAAATATTGAATTATATTTTATAAAGAAAAGAAAAAATATTTTGTAATCTCTTACGATTGTCAATGAATGCATACAATGCACTTCCTTCTAATATTGATCTTGTTGGATTCATGATAGAAATTATTCCAGTCAAGCATGAATAAGCTTTGTTGTGTAGCTCACAAAATGTTACTTTTACGGAACTGTTATCAATCACATAGTAATTTGTATAATCACAGAAAAAACTTGAAGTGTAGGCATCTTCATATTGCATTACACTGTACCATTTTCCAGCAATCTAATTAATAAATTATATAGAAAAAAAAATAAAATAAAATCATTTTTTTCTTACCTTATTTATGTTAAAGTTTTGCATAACCGGACGATTTGGACAGGGATGATCAAAAATATATTCGGCATTTAATAACAGCAATTGACATGGAAAGAGAACAATTAAATATTTCATTTTACAAGTTCTAAGTTTGAATGAAACTGAAAATATTTCTACTTGCAACTCAGTAAAATAATTTTTAAATAAACAATTTAAAATCTATAATAAAATGATGTAGTTTGCATTCCGAAAAAATAAATATTAAAAGTACTATTGATAATCGGCGACATTGACTTCGGGAAAAGTTATTAGTACAGAAAATGAATAAACAATTGCTGATAGTTGATTGAAAATTGTAGCAATTGCTATTGAATTCTATTTTAAAAATTGCATGAAATAACAAATGTATCATAAAATAAATATTAGTCTAATAAATCAGGCATTTCAAAAGATTATTACAAGTCCAATTTATTCTGTAAAGTTTCAAATTTTGATTTATATGATATAAGTTACTATCTATAAGAAAGTGTTAAATAAATGCAATATCAAAATGTGAAATAAATAAATTATCTTAATTAATGAATGCTTCGGGTTTTCCATCAACTTTATATCCATCAAATTTATATCCATCATAACTTGTCTCAACTCTTCTTTCAGGTAAATATGGGGATGGATAATCTTTTAAGAAAAGTGGTGGATTTTGCAATGATTTCATATAAATACTATTTTGATGACTCTTCAAAGCTCCAAGTAAGAAGAATAGAATGGCTATTTTTCCGGCAAATAATGACTTCATCAAAAATAATTTTATTGTTGTCAACATAAATGGAATAACTGCTGCTTGTATAAGGAAAGGGAGTACAAATAAAGGTGCTACACGTTCCATCATGTTGTGTTTCCTTCCACGACCTTTATTAGAAATATTACAAAATTAATTTCCCGGATAATATTAAAATGTTTTAACGAATTTACCACGTTTATTACCTGTGAAAATATCTTTTAAGGACTTTTGATCTAGTTTTACTCTTACTGTATTCTCATTAGAATTGATTGAAACATTCATCAGTTGTCCAAGATTATATTCTGTAGTTTCGTCATTTCTCACAAGATCAAATTCTTCGTTATCATCATCTTCATTTTCGTCCGATAGATTATAATTTAAAAGTTTACTTGGAATTTTATTGTCTAGTTCTTCTTCTTCAGATGATGTTTGTGGAACTTGATATGCAAAAGATCCAAAATCTTGAGCAACTCTTTGTGAATCCTTTATACTATTATAAAGATCTGCAAAATGTTTTTCTTGTGATCTTAATTTCGCACTTATCTTTGTTGACGGAACTGGCGGTTCTTCTGTTTCAACATCAAGAACAGAGTTCTCAAAAGGAGACAATTTAGGGAAATTACTTGCAAAATTTGCTGATGATTTCCATGACTTTTTCATTGCAGAATTTGCATTTTGAATAATTAAAAGAACAAAAATTGCTTTTAAATTTTGTTTAAACATTTTCTTAAGTTTGATTTTTTAGTCTATTCAATATGACGTCTAGAATACAACTGATTTTAAATTTAATCGAATGCTTTGAAGCAATGGAATAGAAAGAATAAATTACGAGAAGAGAGTAAAAATTTAACCAGCATCTTACTACAAGCAAAGAGATATATCTAATGCAGACAGAATTGAGAAAGAAGAAACCGTTTCCCCCATAATGCTTACCGTTTATACCGCATACATTCTTTCTTTCATTGATCATGTCCATTAATACATTGCACATATGTGCAATGAGATGTTATAAGAAGAAAATAAAAGTGCATGAAATGTGTATCAATTACCCAGTTTTCTGCTTCTCTATAAATCGATATTCGTTGAACAATGCATTGATTAGGAAATGTAAACACTTCATATTAAATTTAGATTTGATGTACGAAAAAACTAGATCATTGATCTCTGAACAAAGAAAAATGTCAACCTAATTTTATCGTACTCTTTACTTTTTAACGCACCAATAGTCAATATTGTCATGCTAACATCTTGGTATCTATGTTTAGTGGTTCTTATCATGAATATTCATAATAACAAAGGAAATATAATTTATGTAGGTAAAGAATTGTATGTTCAATAAGTATAGTGATCAGTTCCACCTAAACCTAAATTACACCTCATTTGCAATCTATATTTGAGTTTCTAATATCAGCAACAATGAGGTTATCAACACAATATTTTTAATATCTTTTTAAAAAGGATGTCAAATGAAAACCACATCGAAAGTGATTATAAATCAAGATAATGTGAACTAGATATTTTAAATTAGCATATAATTCCTATCTGATTACGATCCAAATCATATTAAAGAAATTGTTGACCGATGCATAGAACTAATAAATCAGGGTAATTATTTCATAACTATCATCACTCAAACAATTAATTAACAGACTATTTATGTACACATGTTTATGTAGGAAATGAGATCAATTGAAGTCAATTTGAGGTAGTCTGTAATTAGTTATTAATGAAATTGTTCAAATTTTTATAGCAAATCAAAAATTCAACACGGAAGTTAATGCTTACCAAGAACTTGCATTCTGTTAAGAAAAATTAAAATGTTGATCTAAATCAACACATGGTCTGTGATATTTCTTAAAAGACAACAAATCTTAAACTAATCATTAATTTGCAGATAATTCAACACTTTTGATGAGAAATGTAAAGTTTTAGAAACTTTTCTAAAGTGAAGATGTTAGGCAAGTAAAAGTTCCATATGAAGTTAATGTTACTCTAAATAATATCAATTAAATAAGAAAAATAGTTATACATTTGTATGAATCATCTAATTTATTTGGGCAGATAGTCGAATTAGTTTTTTGAGCAAGTTCTATCAAGCAAAACATTGGAGTATAAAAAACATCAATTCAAGCATAAGAAAATAAAGAACGTAGAAAGAAAAAGATCATCAGCTTTTGGATTAGGAGAACAATTTTTTTCGCAACTTAACATCTCTTACGCTTGCTTACTGGTTCTTCGTAGATACAACTGTTTCAGTATTCTATCTGCTCTTGAAGTGAAAAGAAGGTCTTCTTGCCAGTCTTCAGTAGTCTTAATAATTTTTATAGTTTACTTTTTCCAATCGAAATGAAGTGCTTTATAGTTTTCATCTCTATTATATTAATATGCACTCAATTGACAAAATGTGAACAAAATAAAGACGGTATGGTTGCCTACATTAAAGGTTCATTGCCAAATCAAATATATCGGTGCATCCAACGGTTTAATATTTTAAGATGTCTAAAATATTTTGTTCTCTTACGACTGGAAGCTCGTGATTACTCATTTTCACCAACAAACTCAACAAGTGAATTTTTAGAAAACATTTTAAGAAGTGAGAATAACTTACCAAGAGAAATTCCAGAGAATATAACAAAATTAAATGAAGATGATCTAAATGACCGATTAACGGAAGGTTTTCAAAGATTTTTTAAGAATCGACCCATAAAATTACATTTCATACCTAACATATTAGTTAAAGTTGTTCCAAACCGTGGAAATGATTTGGAAGTTTCACTGAAAAAAATTGTTAATGGAAGTTTTAGTAGTCGTAAGCTTGATGGTGCATCGAAAGCAGAAGATGTTGATTCTGATTATTATGACGATGAGGACGTTAAAGAGGAAAAGGATGAAACAGTAATTAAAGACGAGAAAGGTGATATGAAAAAAGACGAAAAAGAAAAAGGAACTGGAATGAGAAAGAAGCATGGATATTATATTCAATTAGGAGTTCCTCTTCTTCTTACGCCATACATGGTATTTGCTGGATTTCTTCCAATGCTAATTCCTGTTCTGAAACTTGCAACTGCATTTACAACAATTGTTAATGTCGCAGCTCTGATTGGCTCGATCGTTTATTTAGCACGACAACATGCACTTGAACGAGAAATGCAGCAAACGGTCTACTTTAATCCCGGTTATAAAGAAAGAAAATGAAAACAAGTTCAAGGGCAAGCGAAATAATTATTGAATATAAATGAGAGCATATATGAGAATCATTTTGTTATTCCTCTTCCTCCATTAACGCAATATTAGTTTTTAATCTCAAATTAAGCAATTAAAATTAATAGACTTTGAATCATTAATCACATTTAATTAACCAAGAGACCTTTAGACTAAACTTTTTAATAAATGCCATTTTGTGTGATCTATTGTAACAAAAATGTGTGTACTATTTCGTGTATATTAAAAATAATATATATTTTAAAACTAAAATATGTCTTCATTTCTCATCAAAAATTTGAAACTATTTTTTTTACCTTTTTTCTTCACTAGAATTAAATTCAAATTTGACAAAACATAAATAAGTTGTGTATATTGTAATAAATCAAATGAATTTATATTAAGATGACTCAATCAAAAACACGATTATTGTGTCATAATTGGATTTTCAAAATAAAGTAATATTTTATCTTTACAAATTTAAAGAAAAAAAACCTTAACCTATTCAGATCAATTGTGATCCAGAGGTGCGCTAGGGTGTTTTGCAGCTAATAAGAGTTTAACGAGTGATGAGATGCGCCAAACCATTGCAATCAAACCTAAGCCTACAGTTTATTGAGGAATCCGAACCACTCCTTTGATCGCTCTGTCAGTATTGCAATAATTAGGTACCGAAGTACTTAATCTATCATATTATTAAATATTTTTATAAGCATTTACTTTAAGTAAAATAGTAAACCAAAACTTTTAATTTCTGTGTGTCGTTTAAAGTGTCTGACAATAATAAAGTTTGAAAATCTCATGTGACTTACAATTTTATCACCTGATATATTACGATAGTTCAAATTACGAGATATAAATAGAAACCAACTTAATTCTTAGGCTTCTTATCATCTCACGTAAAATGATAAGGAATTCTTTTCAACCATTCGCTTTGGATACTTTGTTATGTTTCCGCTATGAATAAAATCTGGATTTAAGTTAAATATTAAACTTTTGTCATTATGAAACAATTGAAAACTTTATCTTTAATTCTGATTCCTTTTTTGCATTCTTGAATTTAATTGATTTTAAGATGTTATTCTGATATTTTCTAATAATAATTTGTTATTAATCGAGTAAGTTAATACGGAAGTGGATCAACAACACGATGGCTGTTAACGTCTGAACTTTGATTTAAAACTTTAATTAACCAATTGATTATTTAACTTATTGATTAAAATCAACATGTTCATTGATTTCAACGCATCAACTATTTCCGTTACAAATTAAAGTTTATGCAAATGTTGATGACTACAATAGTAGTAGAATGTAGATTTTGTCTAGATTAGTAACTTTCTTGATGTAGATCTATTCCACATGTAAGTAAAAAAAAATCTGCATGCAGATTTTGTCTACATGATTGAATCTATAAATAGATTCGATTTAGATAAACAAAATTATTCATACAGGTCCACATATTTTGCAATCTACTCGTAGATTGCTTTTTCATTTGCATCAATTTGCATGTATAATGAATCTTTATGTAGAAACTATATTACGATTTTCAAAGCAATGCGTCAACCAATTTGATATCTGTTTTTTGCAGAAGATTTGAAATTTTAGGTCCAAACTTGAACATTTTCAGCTATCCTGCTCCATTTCCTCACAAAATTCGAAAAACTGAATCTTTTATCTGAACAATAGTGTAATAATAAATTCTTTCAAAACAACATTGATAGACTTTTCGAATGTTCAAGAAAATCAATTGTGTCGTAATAATTATTAGTCAGCACCTTCACGTGTTTCCATATTTGGGCATTAAACGCTATCGAGATAATAAAATTGTAGTGGTTGCTCAGGAGAAACTAACTTTATGTGAGTATTATAATTATATCAAAATCGTTTTTATTCGTTCACTTATTACGTTACGCAAAACTTTTTTCACCCTCCGCATGAACGTTCATAATTTATTTTATTTTATTTTAGTTTTTCTTTATTTAAAATTCCTACAAATTATGATTGTATTTTAAAGTCTTGTAAACTAATTTTCTATTGATTTGTTACTTTATATAACGAATACTATGTATTGCTTAGCTATCAAAAGTGATCTGGACATTTATAAATCATTAAAAAGGTGGAAAATGTTTTTGGTGTAAATTTGTAAACAAATTTTTTCTTGAACTTTTTTTTAAAAGACAGACGACAGTTTGAACGTTACATACTTCTTGACACCCCCCCCCCTATGTTACATTTTGTTACAATTTTTCAAACCCCCTCCCCCTAAAATGCGAACGTAATAAGTAAACGGCCCCTTAGATCTTGAATTAATCAAGCTATTTTTATCATATGTCTCTTCTTTTAAAAAATTTATGAAATTTAAAAGTAAAATGTGTCGATAACACGAAAAACTGGAAGAAATTATTAAAATTTCCTATAAAAAAAATTTCTAGCCAAAATATATAACATTTCGAATATCTTCATCTTCCACATTTAACTTATCATAAATAGTTAAACAAATCATAAAAATTACTAAGTTCTATAAACGTGCCTGTCTTAGATATTTTTAAGCTTTCATATTTTTATCAAATAACAAATTTACTGAGTTGGAAATTTCTTTGATTAGACTGTAATGAATGATACAAGATAAATAATCATGTTGAATTTGACTACATCTAAGATAAGGATGTTTCTTAATTCTGATGAAATTGTATCAGAAATTAGAAATAAATATGTGATAAAGAATAAAAAAGCTTTAATGACACATTGAATTTTTTCAAACTTAGTCATTATATTCATTCAGTCAGACTTGCAAATTTTCTTCGATGTAAAGAAAAAACTTTCTTAACCCCGAACAGACAAAAAGCATGCTCTCACTGAGTATGCTCACTTAAATGTACTGACTGAGTTAACTCGTGAGCATACTCAGCTACTATATTTTAGTAAGCATACTCATTGAGAGCATGCTCTTTGTCTGTTAGGGAACAATGATAATGAGGAGTTATTCTTAAAGTGGAAGAAAAACAAACTTGTCATCATCACATTGCATGCGTTCATCACTTCCACTCGAAAAAGGATAGAAACTTTAGCATGACACATTTAATGAGATCCAATTCATTAATGTACGCTTTGTAATCATTCTTCGTTACATTGCGAATGTTATAGACACGCAAATATTTCTACGTCATGCGTGCAAAGAAAATGTGAGTAAAAGTGCTGTGTGGAACATAAACAATATATTTTCATGAAGTGGCTTAATCTGGTTATAAATATAAAATGATAGGCCAAAAAAAATTGAACCTTACTCGGCATCATTCCAGTTCTAACCATATGGATGATAAAATCTTATCGCGACATATTATTGGTATAAAAGCTTGAGTTTTTGAAGAATTATTTGTCAAAACTAAATTGAAACTCAAAGCATTAAGTTTAGTAAATTTTAAAAGAAAAAAAAATGAAATATCTAGTTGCAATCTTAATTTTTGCTGCTTTTGCAAATTCAGAAATTTTCGACAGACCTTGCCGTACTCCTCAAGAACTTGGTGTCAAAACAGGTTTTCAACCAGTAGCCTATCTTGGAATTTGGTATGAAATCGAACGATATGAACAATTTTTCCAAGCCGGTGGAGATTGTGTTAGAGCTCAATATACTTTGAATGGAGATGGATCAATTAATGTGTTTAATACAGCTTTTGTAATTGAAAATGCAACCAGAATTGAAGCAGAAGGGATCGCAAGAATCTCCTTTCCTGATGAGGAGCCATTAAGAGCACAGCTCAATGTAACATTCGATGCTAATCGTGAGTATTAATATATTTACAAAAACTTTAAACATTCAAATATTATTAATTTTATATTTATGCAGAACCAAACCTTTCAAACTATTGGGTTCTCAGCACTGACTATTCGAATTATGCATTTGTTGTTTCCTGCATGAATTTGCAAGATAACAGATCATTAGAATCATTTTGGCTTCTCTCAAGATCATTTACATTATCTCCAACAATTCGAGCTAGGGCTGATGAGCTCATTGCAAGAAATCTTGAAGCTTCAAGAATAAGAAAAACAAATCAAGATAATCAAATGTAAGTTTAAGAAGCAATTATTATAAGTCCTTTTCATCCAATATTATTTATTAATCAAATGTTTTTTTTTATAATCAATTTCAGATGCGGAAGAGAGTTTTAAAATTTGTAAAATCTCAAAGATAAGATGGAATTGATTGTAAATATTTTTCATATGGTACTCAATGATTGTATTATCCATTAATCATTATCGGCATATGTAACAGGAGATAATGTGTGATTCTATAAATGTCTATTTTGAAGTTTTTAATTTGTAAATAAATTTTTTAAACAATATAAAGAATGAAAGAGGTTTTAAGATTTAAATTTATTACATTAAAAAGATTTTTATACAGATTTTTTAATATTGGCATTTGTTTTACTTTAAAAGTTTATAATCGCTACTTTTGATAAAGCAAATTTTTTAAGGTTTGACTATCGGCTCCACACCTAGTTTTTAAATATAATCCGTCCCTCGTTTACTTCAATTACTAGGAAAGTAAATATATAAAAAGTTCTAAAAAAATAAATACAAAAGTTCAGAACAAAATTTATTTACCCAAGAATTAAAAATGTGATTCTTTAACAAAATCTCGTGACAACAACGGTGAAAATAGGATAGGAAACAAATTTTTCCCAAAAAAGTTTTGAATCTTCTTCTTTTCAACAATATTTTTTGTCATTTCGGTGCGCAAGAAGATGGAAAAAATGAGTGGTAAACTTTTCCATTTTCCTCATAGAAAATCCTTCGCATTTAATTTTTTTATTTCTTCTTGTTCTTATTCTTCATTCTAAAAACTCAACTTTTCTGAAAGGAAACAGATACAAAACTTAAAGAAAAATGTAAAAGGAGGAGAAATCAAAAATTTTCAACACGTAATTTTAACGGAAAAGTTTCTGTTTATCGTCATTAAGACCATTTAGCAATTAAATAATCCTCACGCTATGGGTTATGATTCTTTTGAATTTATAAGAAAAATTTGTAAGATAAATAAAAGAGATTGAAATTTTATGACGAAACATTACATTTAAAATTAATAATACGGAAAAGTTTCAGTCAAACAGTATTCTTTAAAAACATTTTAAAGACTAACATTGCATATGTTCACGGCGTAAAATTTCACTCGTGTATTCAAATTCGGATAAAAGTCGTATAAAGCTCTCTCAACTCATTTTGAATATCAGAGTTGATCAAGTAAATTGAAAAATTCATACAAATCAGTTTTCATATTTGATGCTCTTCTCAATTTTTCCACAAACACAAACAGAATACTATACTCTTTGTTGTATCAATGAATTTCTAATCCATTTAAGGCTGTGCTGAAAATAGAAAATGTTACAACTAGATTTCCATCAACGATTGATTATTTTTTTCTTGAAGAAATAAAATTGAGGGACGGAAAAGGAGAAATCAATCAGCACATTTGCCTAAAGTTGTACATCAACACTCAATATTCGATACTGAAATAAATTACGGAATCGAAAAAGAAGGGAGAATGAAATAAGGTTGAAATTGAATAAATTTTTTCACAATGCAGCTACAAGAAAAAAGTATGAGCATAGATTAAACAACAAAAGATGTCTGGAAAAGTTCAATTTATGAGTTCATTTCGATTCTTGTTTGAAATCTATAACTTTAGCTATTTTTTGCATTCAATGAAAAATATTTAAATGCTCAATTTTGATGACAAAATTTAATTACGAGCAAATATTATTAAACTCTAATATAATGGCAGGCTATTTTATAAAGTGTGAATTTTGGTCATTGTGCTGCTTTATTAAACATCTTTACAACCTCATCCTCGTTAGTAAAAATAAAGAAATAAAAAAGAAGAACCAGAAAATTATTTTCGTTTTTTATTTTGTATCATTTAAGAATGCTCCATTTAGATCTCCTTTCACAAATGTTTATCGATAAATTACTGTATTGGTAGCAATCACCCTTCTCAATTTCAATTTTTTTTTGCTTGATATTTTCTTTTATTTCTAATGCTGAAAACGAAATAAAAAGTAGAATCGATATGAGATGAGGAAAGTGCTTATCTCAAATGACTACGACTGGTGTTTTTTCTACTCTCGACGAGTATTTCAATAAAAGAAGAAAAAGAAATGTTTCAGATTCCGATGTTGAATGCAAGCAAAAACAAAACAAAATAAGAATGACATCAAGGAAATTGACATGAAACGCATCCTGACAAGTAAAAATGTCATCATAATTAATCGAGGAATGTATATTTTTTTCAACTATTTTGTGAAATTATTATCATGATTCATAAATTTTAAAAACTAGTAAACCAAAGATCCAGCTGATTTTAATCTTTAAAAAACGAAGATTATAATCTCAAAACAGAATAGATTATAATCTTTAACAATCTTTCATACAAAGATTATAATCTTTGAATGGGATTATTTAAAGATTGTAATCTGCGAGAGCCTTGTAATAAACAGACAAAATAAAAGTTGTCTTGAAATTAAACGATACGATGTAGAATTTGTGATTATTTTCATCGTGTTGCTCATCTCAACTTCCCCCAAGTGCAGATAAATAAATTGAATAAAGGAAAAGAAAGAGGAGAAAAAGCAGGAAGGTTAATTTAATGCTATTTGAACTTTTTATCAATTTGCCTTTTCTATCATCAATTTATCTATACATAGTTTGATTTCATCAAAGAGTAAAGTTCACACTATAGTGTTAAGCATCATTCATTATTTCAGAATCATCAAGGTTAAGGATACAAATAAATAACTACTTTACTACTAAAGAAGAACATAAAGCAAATGAGCTGAAGTTATTTTTTTTTTTGCTTGTTGAAGGCAATATAAGGGAAAAATATATGAGAAAAATTTAGAGCGTGAAAAAAATATTTTATTTTTGAAAAATTGTAAAAAATCGTGCTGAATAAAAGTGGTGAAGAAAAATAATTCAAATAACAATATCAGCAACAGCAGCTTGTTCGTGTTGAAGCAATTGAAAAAGTTTTTTATGCTAACACTGAAAGGAAAAGCTTAAACTTACAAGGATCTTGAGTGATAAATAAGAAACGAAATTCAAAATCCTTGAACCAAAACCTTTCTCACCTAATGCAAAAACCATTTAAACAGTAAAATGCTCTGAGATAATCAGTGATATTTGATATTTTTTATCAGAAAATAAGAAAATTTCCTCCAGTGTAACATTTTTGCCTAAAAAATGAGCAAACAAAAATCACTTCCTGAATATGCGAAATACAATATAACACACGCTGATGATACAGCAAACCAGAGATAGATGATTTCTATGCGATAACAACACTCTGTGTATTATAATATACATCCGCCTTTCACACTTGACTATACTTTTTAGCCTTCCTTGTTGCAAAAGAGAAATTTTTTATGTTTTCTTCATTCTGAATCAAAAATTTCCATCACGTTTTTCATTTTCATTTGTGTATTTGAATAAAATTTATAAAATTTTCATACAAAACTTTCTCATTTCACATTATATGTATAGCGGCATTGAAATGTATAAAACAAAATTTAGTACGTAGAAAATGGTGAGTTAAGAAGTGAAGGTAGGGTAGACAAAAAGAAATAGCATCTATGTATGTAGTCATTGAGAGGGGGGTAATTTATTTGAAAATGTGAAAATCTGTGTAGAGCGATATAAATTTTTTCATTTTTTTTTTCTTCTTCTATCATCCCTGTGTTAAATTTACGCACTTACCACAGTGTGTTCATGATGTACGTTACGTGGTTAACGCAATCAAGTATCAAAATGAGATAGAATATAATTTATGGTACCCACAATACATCATTTATTTCGCTCTTTTTCTATTTTAAATTAGAATTTAATTCAAATTTTAGGCCACAATGAAATTTATTTGTTGGTATGCAGAATAAAATACTGAAACCAACGGCTGATGCTAAATTTTTCAATTTTCTGGAAATGAAAGAAAATAAACATTTTATATTAGCGAGAGTTTAATTGAAAATTGAAACATAAATATTTAGAGCTTTTTCGTGGATGAGATAAAATAGGTCGAACAACAATTGAACTTTCATGAATATATTTGAGATGAAATCAAGAAAGTCTAAGGGTTTCAATGGATTCTATTTAAATGACATGCGTAACAATTGGAACTTTAAATCTCAGTTCTCAGAAATCGAAAAATTATCAAATGGAATCTTACCTGGTATATGTGCATCCAACCGTCCAATCGGAATCAATTAAACCTTTAATGACTGTATCTTTCATTTCATATTGATAGCAGAGCGATCCAAGCGTCCTCGATGTACGCTTATCCATGATTAATGAGGCACCGAATTGCAATAAATCGTTTGACTGATGCCATAAACTAATGTCCAGTGCACTATTTGAAATCGTTGCAGCTATTGAATTCCTCTTTTCTGAGTATCTGCAATGATATCGTAAATGTCTACAGTAAAAATGCTTGTTTGCATGACATAGGATCAATTGCATTTAAATTGCACTGTTTGAATAGAAAAATCTGAATGGTTAAAAATACTGCGTTTAAAAAAAGACAGATATTGGTATAAAATAGAATTTTAAATAAAATGATAAAATCGAAGTTTTTAAAACTTTTCTGTTTTCAAATGCTTCGATGGTTGATGATCAAAAACTGTGACAAAAAACTACATTAAGAATGCAACAAAAAGAATTTTTTCGCAACTGCGAATGTAATTTTAGATTCTATAAAGTTTCGGCACTGCCTGCAGATTTTCATTCATTTGCATACCTCTGAAATTCCCTTAATATCAGCGGTGCAATGCAAACATAACAAAAATTGGAATTTAATGTTAGCATGAACAAGCTCGTAAACATTTTTAATTGGCAAACATTTAAGTTCTTTAATTAAAATTTTTCATAAATGTTCACTTTATTAATAAGTTCCTTTATCATCAGTGAGAAAGAAACGCAATTGCAATTGTGTGCAATTATATTAAATGCGTCTTAAAAAAGTGTCCGCTAGAGATTTTTTACTTAATAAAAAAAAGCATCAAAAGCACAAACAATCGCCGCATATACCAATACACACTAAACTCACCTTGCAGCAATAGCCAAGTTATATTGAGGCTTGTTTTTCATCCATTCAAACAGTAACTCAGCACCAGCACAGAAGTTTTTATTGAAATTGTGCAAAAAACCAATTGTCATGCGACCCGTTTCACGTTTCGGATTGTACAGTGCTAATGAAATTGTAGAGCTTTTGCTTAAAAATTCAGCCGTTCCAATGGTATCATCAAGATCTAAATTATTGGGAAATCTACCCGTCTGTATTTTCGTTTCTAATTTAATTTGCGGCAGTGGATGAAAGATAATATGGAAATTCGTAGCGAGCGTAGATGGGTTTGTGTCGCCAACTATTATTGGTGTTTTCTATAGCATAAAAGAAAAAAAAAACAAGAAATGTACAAAAAGTACTAATTAGTTCCGTAAAGTGTCACGTAAGACATATCTCTTAATCTCGTACCGTTATGCTGTCATTATCCTTTCGACAATACATGCCACCAAATCGAAAACCACCTGGCGTGCTATTACCCATTAGCCAATCCATACAAACCGTTTTATGAACATCTAAATTCAAGGCACATCGAAAATTCAATCCTTCAACCCACTCTGGCATTATGTCTCGCGTTTTCTTATGTAAATTAGAAATGTTACCCGGATTGAGTGGGCTCAGCACGATGCCACGTAAATGGCAAATATTTGGAGAGAAAAGGGTAGATGATGGTGGTCGATGTTTTGGTAGCTCATAGAAATTGTCATCACAAAACCTTTCCATTACGTCTGTTTATTTTTTTTTGATTTAATTCACTTAGCACACGCTGTTCCACTTGATTTTGCTTTTTTTAAGCCTTTCAAAATAAGCTTAATTTGATTTTTATTCTCTAAAGAAGATCGTAAAAGTTTAAAAAAATTGTGTTAATATGTTTGTTTACTATGACCATGAAATGTTTCATAAAATATTCACTGTAATTGAGAATTTGGTGTGAATATATGATTCTTAAAACTATTCGGTAGTAAAATGTATTTTCATTTTATTTCAATAAAATTGTTGTATTAAGAAAGAAAAACCAAACATATTAATAACATGTGAATCCACTTTTTGCAGAAAAAAATTATTATTATATTCACAGCATACTCATGTATGAGAAAACCAAGCCAAATGGTACTGTTTGTGCCTAATATTTCACATCGTCTGCAGAAATAGGTTTCAAATTGCTGAGAAAATTTCAAAATACGCTTTCTTTTCGCAAGCAAACAAAAGCGAGTTAAACATCAAGAAATCTTAATAATGAGATATCGTAGAGACTTGTGGTTTTTAACATTCGATGTATTGTTTTTAGGCAAGGTAGAAACAGCTGTTGCTTCATTAAAAGCTAAAAACCTTCCAATTTTACGTATTTTAAAAACCAATTTTTAAAAAAAAAATAAAATTCATTTAGCTTTAAATCTTCGAACATATGCTGAGCAAAGCTCAACTAACCCGTCAGGATTTAAAAATTCAAACATATGCTGAGCAAAGCTTGAAATATGAACAAGATTTTCGATACCAACGGTGTGAATATATCCTCATTTCGTTTTTACCCGAAACACCACCTAGTTTGTTATACTTGTCGTATTTATAAAGTTCCCATTGATTCTTCCTATCGGTAATTTGCATTTCAACAATTGATGTAAATTGCAAGGAGCGGAAGTGTATCATCATGGTGAATTCAAGTCATTGCAAAACATTATTATTCAAATCACATGGTAAAATTTTTTTGATGGAAAAAGGAAGGAAATAAAATAATGACGACTATTAGGACTTGACTGACTGCAAGTCACCATAATCCATAATTCTAAATTATATTATTCAAACCGCTCTATATACATAGATTTGGCTAGGATTAAACTCTCTTTGGTCCTCAATTATTCGTTCGTCTAATAATGACTCTCATTTTCATTAAATGAACCGCAACAGCATGAACCACCAGCATTATTATTATTTTTATTATGATAATCTGTCAAAAATTTTATATTCATAATTATATTGCCACTCATTCATCAACAGTATTCTCTGTATGTTACCTTTCGAAAGCACAGATGAGGCAAGGTGGAAAATAAAAATTAAATGCGGTCACTTAAAGATAAACTTTTTGAACCAAACATTTTTATAATCGACATTAATGGATGACAGTGACGCGTGGATATTATGAAAGTAAATATTCAACACAATGATGTTAATTTTTTGAAGATAAGCTCTATGAGAATATCTAGCATCACGAAATATCCATAGAATTCTTTCTTATCAAATTTTAATTTTAACACATCCTACAATGATACGTATCATATCATAACCATCATTTGCCACAGATTGTAAAAGTTTTCAAAATGCGAGAAAAAAAAATTGATAATGGCGAAATGAAACAAAGGAGAAATTAAGAGCGCGCAAAAGATTTTATGGTTTGCACAAGTTTTATGAGGGCGCACAAAATGTTAAGAAAATCTCTTCTTCCTCGTTAAATAGAAGCATCACATCTCGAATCAGTCGTTTATGTATTTTTAGAAGCAAAGAAAAATGAAGAAAAAAATTCGCATTAAAAGCTAAGGATCTTATAAGATCCGCGTTAAAATAGCGAGGTAAATTTTAATATCATCCACACAGATTCCATCATCGACATAAATTAAAATACCAAAGGCGAAAGACTGAAAAGCCTCCAGCATATTTTTTACAGTTAACAGATATTACAACGGATACAAACATGAAATTTTATTAATCTTCAGTAAATTTAAAGCGCATTCATTATATAAGATTTATGATTTAATAAAAATTAAGATGAAAATTAAATGGAATTAAATTAATTTTTAAATTTTTAAGCTTTCTGCCTAATCGACAAACTGAAAAGATATTTTCTTTGTTTAAGAAAAGATTGCCCCTTAAAAAATATAAATTCATGCAACCACAATAACAGCAGCAGCACAAAGTAAACAAGCAGCAGTGAAGCTAAAAAATATTTAAAATTTATTCAAAAGCCGCATCATGAAATAAAAACAGTGAAACAGACTATTAGGGATGAAAAGGAAGAAAAGGAGAAAAGTAAAAAATTTGCATCAGGCGATAGAGATTAATTAAATTTTCAAAAATAAAACTCTGCGGACGAATATTTAAGCAATCTACATTTTTTATCATACCGCATTCTATTTTATGTCAGCTTATGGAGCTTCTTATATGGTAAAGATTGTTTGGTTTTGTCTTAAAAATGCAAAAAAAAAAATATGCAAATAAGGTGAAAAAAATTCTCTAGTACAGAACCAAAGCCTAAATATAATTTTAACTGCTAATGGAAATCGACACATTTATATGGTTATACCCTCATAAACCATTCCTTTCTTGTTTCCTTTACGCGTTTAATTGAATTGATTATACTTAGAATTTAATTAAATTGCATGCATTTTATGTGCCTACTCATCAAGCTTTAAAGCTTGTAATTACTTCCAATAGGCGAACAGAATAAATTAAAATTTTTACATCACTAATTTTATAACGTAAGCTCGTTTTTAATTAAATTCTCTCCGGATCGCGAATCTCGCATTTTTCATGTGCATTCAAAAAGTCAATAAAGAGAACAGTGAATTTGATTCGAAACAATGTTTTATTCCACTTTGGGCATCATTGTTTCATTATTGAATCTAGGCTCAAACAAGAATCAAGAACTGCATAAACTTTTAAAATAGAATGGATATTCAATTGATCTTCAATTGATCTTCTTTATCCAACAATAAATAAATAAATGATTTTATTTTGCAAGCACAACCTACATGGTATATCAAAAGTTCATACCTACACAAATCATGCGGTTGTAATTTAAATCACACATTCTTGCCCATTACCAATATTCATTTTGGTTACATTTAATTTCACCTCACTATCGAATACAAACAGATGTATGAATGTTGACCATTACTCTTTTATTCTATCCAATGCAAAGCTGTCACGACAAAAGATTCACATTTCTGTTGTTGAACAGATATATGCACATATTTTTTATTTAATGGTTATGTGATTCAATCGGAATGTATATTTACATTTTCATGGACAAAGGAATGAGCGCAAAAGAAAAACTGTTCAATTATGGTTGAACAAAAATCTATTTCAAATTTATTTATTTTCTTTTACACAACACTACAGAATAGGGGTCGCTAATTGATGTGCGAATAACTGTCTTTTAGAACTATACAAAAAAATTATTTAAGCTTTTTCCTTAGTGTCCTATTTTTTTAAAAAACTTATAAAATGTTCGAAAAAAACCGTATTTTTAAAAGCTCTTTCTTTTTGATTTAAATAATATGAATTTGTGATCATATGAAAACCAGTCAACAGACACATAGTGGTAAAAACTCTGTTAAGGTTTCCCTATTACTAAATTTCACGTAGGTCTTTATGTTTGTAAAATAGAAATAGCAATAAATTTTCAGAACCACATCGAGATGAATACCGTTCTCTGTTGGTTTTGCGTGATTTGTAAAATGCTTGTTTAACGGTGATATAATGAAAGCATCAATATTGTAGAGCCGTACATTCATTTAAAATGTATTTTATGCATTCACGATTGAAAACCATGACGTGTTCAAAACGATAAATGTCTTCTTTTTTCCTTCTTTAATGTATATCCATTTCTCGACATGGAAAAGTGTAATTACTTTGAAAATTCATGAAATGTAACCACCGTGTGCACATACGTACACAAACTGACGCTTTTTTCAATTAAAAAATACTTTGGAAACCGAGAATGAATTAAATGAATTTACATTTCACCATTATCATATTTCGTAATGTGGCAAATACTGTAAATAGTTGAACAGATGAACTTTTCTCCACTTAAATTGGCATTTTGAAAGCACGCCAAGCAATTCACTTAGTAAGCTCCAGCATAACGACAGAAAATATGTTGGACGTGATATTGAATCGAGGGAGAATTTTTGAAAAAACGTGATTGTTTCTCAAATTATACATGCCTTTTCATGCATGCCTTGATGAATACGGTTTTAATTTCAATAGAGATCTCAAAACATGTAGAAGCAAAATATGAAAAGGAAACTTTTCTTGAGCTTGTATGGGATATCTATGTCTAAGTAGTTAAGTGCCTTACTGGTCGAATAGGTAAGGCGCTTGGCTCAAATTTAGGATGGTAACTCGAAGGTCGTCGGTTCGAAGTTTGTTTTTTTTCGGAAATTTAGAAACTTCGACTGCTTAATGTACGAGATCAAGCCATAATTGGGCATTTGGGCAACGTTGGATTAAGGAACGGGTCTGGAACTTGAAGTGTAGCGGGAGAAATAGGAACGAGAGCTACAAGATTACCCACGAATGGAATATTGGTAGAACGGACCTGAAAAGTATCACGTCACGCCTACAGAAGATCGAAACGAGAACCTTAGTTTATTTGAAACCTAGATTTGAAGATTAGAAGTTTGATCCTACATAATATTAATTCATATGTATACAAATACAAAAGTGTAGAATGTGAATTATTATCGGACAGTATGTCGATAATAAATGCAATAAAGTTCAATTAAAATGAAAAAGAAAAAAAAATATTGTTCTATGTGAATGTTTTTCCCCCGAATATAATAGCTTTTTAATTTTTATACCCATCCTCAGTAGTTTTCATTATTTATCATTCATTATATCATACAAGTGCAAACACTTCAAAGCATCATTTTTTTACAGCTATGAAGCTATGTAGAGCTCATCTTCTTTTTATATATATAGACTATCTTGAATTCAAAATCTAGAAACAAATAGAAAAAGCAATTCCAAATGTCTACATGGAACTTCAATGAAAGAAATTTTAATATTTTTTTTTTCATTTTATAAGAAAATAGCTATATAAATCAGGTCAGTTCTGTATTTAAGAAAAATTTAAGCTTTTAAATAAATTCTTTTTTTATTTTTATGAACCTCTGTTATTCCGTGCAAAAATTACATTTTTATAAATTCAAACGAGTTCAGATGTTTCACAAACTAAATCAGTAGCTTACACGCACAGGTCATTAATCATTAGTATGTAATCATAAATAAAAATCACATAGCTCGCAATAAGGAAGTTACATGAGCAAAGAATTTATTTTATTCAACTATTTTTTCCGGTAGTGTGGGTTAAGCTCGTTGATCTCATGCATAATATCTTATGCCTTAAATTCTAAAGAATTCTTAAGAAACTTTAAAAATCAAAATAATTAATTATCAGCAATATGTCATGAAGCTTTTCATAAAATTTAATATAATCAATCATTGACATCATAATTTGGTACATCTCAATCTATTCAATAATGATTTAAGTGATATCTTTGTCAACATCATGATATACATATTAATAAATAATTTATTTTTTTTGTCTTTTTTATTCCATAAATCATAGCGGTAATAAAGGCGATTAAAATAAACACCTATTATTAATTAAATATATACTTAAAGTAATTTTAAGCAATAAATAGCTGTTTCTTGAAATTAGATGTAAAGTTTTAATTAATTGCTTTACCGCTAGTAAATCAAGTAAGAATGAATAACGGAGAGAAAAAAAGTAAATGAAATTATTGAGTGCAATAGTGATTGAGGAAAGAATGTTAATAATCACATTAATCTTTTGATGATCATTGATTGTAATTTCTAGTCAGAATTACTTGTTCCTGGTTCGTTTATGACCTCTTCTGAATTTGTATCTTATAACCTTGTGCAATGTTTAATGTTGGTGTCATTTCTACTTCCAATTCCTCAAACTTCAGCGAAGTGCTGACATTGTAGTTTTTAAAGAAGTGGATGAGGAATATTTTGATAAACATCATGGCATAACGGTAGCCTATTGAATGGATACAGATTTTTTTATTCTTTAATTCCATAAATATTTTAACAATTAAAAATAAACTTTACCAATACAAATTCTTCGTCCTCCAGAGAAAGGTGCATATGCATGTGGATTGATGTGCTTAATATTTTCAGAATTAAATCTTTCAGGCTTAAACTCATTTGCGTCGCTTCCCCAAAATCTTGGATTTCTATGCATTTGATGTGCACAAATAGCCAGAACAGTTCCTTTTGGAACAGTATAACCACTTAGATTTACTTCTTCACTTGTTTCTCTTGCTATAATTCCACCTGCCGTAAATAACCTCATTGTTTCTTTTATTACTAATTCCATGTAGGGAAAATTTTGAAGATTTTCGCTACCAATCATTCCATCTTCTGCTTCAAAAAATTGATCAACTTCATCTGTGACTTTCTTTTGGATATCTTTATGCATTGCAAGCATTAAAAGAATTGTAGAAAGCGTAAGAGCAGATGTTTCATATCCCTAAATAAATATCCTTAGATTTAGTCATGTTGTTTTTTGGTTTTAAGATTTTAACTTACAGCAATTAGGAAAATAACAACTTCGTCTATTATTTCTTCATCACTGAGTTCATTCTTTTTATCCATCAACTGTTTTACGAAAATTTCGTCCTTTTCTTCTAAATTTTCTTCCAAATTTTTCTTCAAAACTTGATTTTTAAAATGCACAAGCACATTATACTCCTTCTGAAGATCTTTATATAATCTTGATATTTTGTATAAAGGTTCAATGTTTAACCAAATTCGAAACATTTTCTTCATCATTAATGGTTTCATTCTATTATCAAAAAATTAATGGATCTTAAAATTGAGTTAAAAACATTTACTTTTACTTACCCTTCAAACGCATTTAAGACATCGCTTTCATAAAAATTCTTTTCAAAATTCAACTGTCCTGTTCCAAATGCTTCTAAGGAGCATGCTCCAGTATAGCTGTACATGTTGAATTCACTTTTATTTAATTGTTCTTTTAACATTTCCATACATTTCAATGATTTTTGATTAAAAACTGGCACCAATTTTTGTAAAATACTTGGTTTGAACGATCGATTAAAAATTTTCCTATGTTTATCGTACATAGCTCCATTAACACTCAAAAGACCCTGCTTTGTGTAAAGAGCATTGTACAATATTGTTGGTTTATTCATACAATGAGGTGAATTGTAAATCGCATGAATAGTATCAGGATCTTGTGTTAAAACTGTAAATTTTGGTCCAATCCATCCTTTTGAAAGTGGAAAATTTTTATCACACAATTCAAAAATAACTTTACAATAATTCTTCATATCAGGATTTAATAATCTATGTAAATGTCCAATAAATGGTAATCCATTTTGACCAGGTATTTTGTTAGCTAACTCGTAGAGCCTTCGTCTTTTCCATCGAAATATTAAAATAACTAGGACGATGGCAATGAAAACTATTGGTAATATTTCAAACACAAATCTATTCATTGTCTGTCGTGACTAATTCAAGCTCTAAAGTTATACTAACAGTTTTCTGACAGAGTCGACGTTCTATATATTGACATTTGCTTGATCAGACTTAAACAATTCAGATAATCAGTTAATTTTAATTATACACTTCTTGCATAAAAATTATTAATGAATACTGAATTTGCAAGGGATGATTATTCGATTAGAACTTTACTATTGACAACTTTTTAAATTAATTGAATTAACATTTTGCAATCAGTTGTTGTGTTAATGCCCCTTGAATCAGAATATTTAAAATGAACAAATATCAAACGTGTTTTAGAAAGTGTAATGATTATAGCACAACACTTAATCATATTTCTATTGAAGCGCTGTCGATTTTGTATTTAAAATTTCATGCTACTAAGCTTTTGACGTATTAGTGATTTAGTCAATTAGCATCGAGATATAACTAATTTTAAAATTGACGCAAAACTTAATAAATCACGAGTTGATCAAGCCACTAAATTATATACGGTGTTATTTAAAAATATTTCCATTTTTACTTACGATGCACATATTACAACTTTATGATTATTTCCAATAATTCAATTCGTACTAGGAAATAAAATTAAATTATGACTTTTCTCAGAACTTAAAATGATTGCAAAGTTTTACTTTTAGAAGAAAAAAAAAACATTTTTGTTTCAGATTCTACAATTTAATAATGAGCTTATTTATATGTTCGCACAAAGTCATTGAAACCGCTACTCTACGTATTATACGGGATGAATATTTTATAAGAAAAATAGACCCATGAGAAAAATTCTTTCTATAATGAAATTACAATGAATTTTCACATACTTAGGATAGCTATCGATAGCTGTATACAAAATGTTCCTGAAGCAATCATAAAACACCAGATATAAAGGATAGAAACTTTGTGGTAAATATACCACTCCAAAATAATCGATTTAATGGGATGTAAGTAAAACAAAATGTCTATATAACAACTGCAATATGAAATACCACTGAAAAAATTTAAACTTAATGATAATACTTATTAAATTCACACCGAATTCACTTGTAACTGAATTTTGAGTGGAAACGAAGGAGAATGAATAAAATTATTACCAAAAAAAGTTTGTTTCTGAAATTTCATATCTTCAGCAAAAAACAGAATTCAAATTAGTTGAGGCATTGCTTAGAAAATCACAAAATACACTTTCTGATTAGCAAGCAAGTTAATCGGCAGAAAATCTCAATAACAACAATGTTTTAGGCAAGTTTGAAAAAGGTTTTACTTTTAAAAAAATAATATGATTTATAAAAAAAATTACAAAATCCTCGTGTTATCGAAGGATTTCATCGGATTTCTGACGCAGCGATCAGTATTTGACAAGCATCAAAATGGGAATCAATAAGCAAACAACTCTAAAATTTTGCCTTTATCAAAGCATATTCGTTGTATTTCAAAAAATATTAATCAATAGGTACAGTAGCGCTCAAAAGTATGTTGACTTTTAGATTTTCTATCATAACTTTTGATCTACTCAATGAATCTTTATGAAATTTTCACCAGTTGGCTTAATTTCAAAGCCAAATCGAATGAATATAATGGTTTTGTGGTTACTTAAGTTAATTTAGCTAACCTCGAAAAACTTTGTTTTTTATCCGCTCAAAAGTATGTTGACCTAGAATATTAATTTTTTTTTTCGTTCCGAAAGCTGATTTATTTTAACTTTGAGTATTTGTTTCTTAAATTACAGACAATATAGAGCAAATTTAGAGATATATAAGTTCATTTAAGGAAAGTTTTAACTTATTTTAAGGCTTATAAAATTTTCATGTTTTCTATCGATTCTTTTCACAATAATCACAATTTGATGAGCTTAAAATGAACCAAAAGTTGCTTAAAAAGACAGAAATAATCATTATCTTTAAAATAGTATGCATTTTGTATGTAATTATAACTTAATTAAAAAAAAGTTTTTGTAAGGTCGATAAAAATTTTAGTATTAAATGGAACATCACTTTAAAAAATTTAAAACAGCCTGAAATATAAAACAAAAGGTGTTCTATTTTCTTCTTTTTTAATAGTTCTTTCAAAATCATGTAGGTTTTGTGGACCTTTAATGAATGGCTGAAAAGTTATGAATGCCCTAAACAACAGTAACTCTTTTAACTTAAAGACATCAAATAAGAATTTAATTATTTTCACATTTAACCTGTTTTTAACATCAAAATCAAACTTTTTTCTTATTATTTCTCTTATTTATTGTTGCTAAATGAGACAAGATACGTTAATACTCAGTAGAAATTGAATTTTACCAAATTAAATATTCAGAAGAAAGTTTCGTGTTTCTTGTGAAAGAACTATTAAAAAAGAAGAAAATAGAACACCTTTTGTTTTATATTTCAGGCTGGTTTAAATTTTTCAAAGTGATGTTCCATTTCATACTAAAATTTTTATCGACCTTACAAAAACTTTTTCCAAAAAACTGTTTAATTAAGTTATAATTTTATACAAAATGCATACTATTTTAAAGATAATGATTATTTCTGTCTTTTTAAGCAACTTTTGGTTCATTTTAAGCTCATCAAATTGTGATTATTGTGAAAAGAATCGATAGAAAACATGAAAATTTAAATTTTCTTAAAATAAGTTAAAACTTTCCTTAAATGAACTTATATATCTCTAAATTTGCTCTATATTGTCTGTAATTTAAGAAACAAAAACTCAAAGTTAAAATAAATCAGCTTTCGGAACGAAAAAAAAAATTAATATTCTAGGTCAACATACTTTTGAGCGGATAAAAAACAAAGTTTTTCGAGGATAGCTTAATTAACTTAAGTAACCACAAAACCATTATATTTATTCGATTTGCCTTTGAAATTAAGCCAACTGGTGAAAATTTCATAAAGATTCATTGAGTAGATCAAAAGTTATGATAGAAAATCTAAAAGTCAACATACTTTTGAGCGCTACTGTATAGCAAAGAGTTTTTTTGTCCTTTAACGGTTTTTAAAATTCAAATTTTATACCGGTTTTATACATTTGAAATTATTCCGCAATTTTATATTATTTATGTGAGCCAATATTGATTAGATTGATTAATGTTTATTCGCCCTCTCGGGTAGTTTACAAATAAAAGTAATTATTAAAAGCTTAACAAGAACAAAAAAAAAAAGAGAGAAAAACAAAAGTTCATGATCGAGAATATTAATATCCAATAAGTGTTACACTTTAAAGTGTTTAAGATGATGTTTAAGTAATGTACGTACACGCACAATAAACGTAAGTACAAGTTTTTTTAAAATAAAGATAAAAATATCCAAATTAATAACATCGTTAACAACATTTTTGAATTATCGCATCACATTTTTTCGCAATATAATTAACAATTCTTTTTTAACGAAATAAACTAATTTCCACAACAAAAAAAAAACTCTTGAATTCAACAGGATTTTTCACTTAACCATTTTCTTGAATTCAAAAGAGTTTTTCATTCAACGGTTTTTTGAGATTCAAATTTTTTAACGGCAAGTATTTCTACCATTTAATTTGAATTTCTGAACATACCTTGAACAATTTTTAAAGCGATAAAAAAATTCAAATTTTTGAACGTACTCATAATATGGCTTTGTTTTTGAAATAAAAAATCATTAATTATAGTATAAAAGCACTGTTTCAAGACTTTTAACTGTTCGATGGGCTGATAAATCAATAGTAACGGAGCTAATAAAACTAACCTGAGCTCTCTACAATGTCTGAACTTAAAAAGTTTTTCTTCGCCCGAACAAGCAACTGAACGAACGAACGAACATTTCGCATTATTAAGCTCCCTTTTGTACACAAGTATACAAAAATGCGCTAAAAACTCAGCCATGAATAAAATATTTTTTTAAAAAACAAATAAGAATGTTTGGCTGATGTGAAGTAATTTATCTACAAGAATAATGAAATTAATCTTCAAAAAGAAGAAGGGATAACTGTATGTAAAACAAACCCCACTTGAGACATAAAGGAAGCTTTGTTCGATTTCTCATTCATTCTTGTCAGACAGAAAAGATATAAAGAGCATATGAGGTCATAAAAGCAGATTGAAAATGAACTTTTAGTTCTTAATTCTATTTTATCAAAGTATCCTTAAGAGAATTAGGACGCATAAAAAGAAGAAAAATTTAGTTGTTATATTAATGAGAAAGGAGCATGCAGCAACTTAATTTTTTAATATAAAATATAAATTTCATACCATTCAAACCAAAATTTAAAGATAAGTTTCGAAGCTCCTTTACACTCTTTTTCATCTTTTTTTCATTCAATTTTATGAATCTAATCGAGTACTTTATTACACTTGTTCGTGGAATACTTGATAGAAAGGCTTGGTAATTTAACGGCTTTTTGAGATTCAAAATTTTTCAACGGTAGAAATAAGTTCGAATTTCTAAACGCTCTCATCACGTGTTTTTTCATATGACATTTAAAAATCATTAATTATAGTACAAAAACACTGTTTCAAGACTTTTAAATGCGTTTCCCGAAAATAAAACAATGGAACTAGGCTAATAAAACAAACTAGAACTCTCTACAATGTCTAGTTAAAAAAAATTTTCTCCGCCCGAACGAACAGACATAGTGAGATATTAAGCTACCTTTTAGAAGCAAGTTTTAAAAATGCGCTAAAAATATCGATTTTATATCTATATTAGCATTCTTTATCATTTATAATATCTAGATATGTTTTCAAATGCAATTTAAAACATTTTTGATTTCGATAATAGAAAACTATTTTCTTAAAAAAATATAGATTTTATATCAATATTAGCATTCTTTATCATTTATAATACCTAGATATGTTTTAAAATGCAATTTATAGCATTTTTGGTTTCGATCAAAGTAGGTTTTTTTCAAAAAAAAAATATCGATTTTATATCTTTATTAGCATTTTTTATCATTTATAATACCTAGATATGTTTTAAAATGCAATTCAAAGCATTTTTGGTTTCGATCATAGTAGGCTATTTTCAAAAAAAAATATCGATTTTATATCTATATTAGCATTCTTTATCATTTATAACACCTAGATATGTTTTAAAATGCAATTTAAAGCATTTTTGGTTTCGATCATAGTAGGCTATTTTCAAAAATATATCGATTTGATATCTATATTAGCATTCTTTATCATTTATAACACCTAGATATGTTTTAAAATGCAATTTAAAGCATTTTTGGTTTCGATCATAGTAGGCTATTTT